GTGATGATTTTATCATGATGAACACATCTTTTTAACAAATGATTGATATCATGATGATCTTTAGTTGCTATAAAGAACACAATGCCAGCAATTAACAAATTTGTAAATGAACAATACAGATTAGCCATCATGATATCTGTTAAACAACAATTAAATCGTAATCTGCCAACTAAAATAGTACATCAATCATTTTTTGGAGAAAGTGAAAGAAAGAAAAATTGACAAACCGATTAAAAATTCTTAGATTATTTTAGCCTTTGGATGATTAAAGCCTTGGAACTAAGCAGCTACCATGATAGTACTTAAGGTCGCACTCTTAGTCTTCATGATTGCTGCTATGTGTTAACATTTAGTGTCATACTGTCAGTATTGGCAGTACTATCGTTTTAGAATAAAACAGCAGTGGCCAGAGACATCAGATTTTATATAAAAGAATCAATACATTAGAAGCAAACCTGGTTGACCTTCAGCGGCATTTAAGTATGAGCAATTTTCCGATACGTTATTAATCACCTGAATAAAAAAACCTAAAAGTTCTCCGTCAAATGAGGATCATCCTCATTTGACGGAGAACTTTTAGGTTTTTTTTATCCTTAGGTTTTATATCCTCAGAGGATGACGCAAGCATATACAGACTTATTACAATTGAATATCATTTAATACTATCATGTAATAAACTTATACTTTTCTACAGAAAGTGCAAAAAAACAGTCATTTCGCCCCTAAAACCCTTTAAACTTCGTTTTTCCTTCTCACGAAGGAAAGCACTAAAATTTTTCACAAAAGAATGTATACCTGGTTGAAGACTAAGTATACAACATGAATTAAGCTAATTTTGTGTCACAGAAAAACATGTTATCATCTTTACTGAATATACCGGATTCTTTTTTCATGCCAGTTAAAGCAATGATCAGATTTAGAGTTCAGACTTGTTCACCAGGTATGTATGACTTTTACATCAATGTACAAATCTTAAAAAATAATTTATTAACATTCATATTAATCTATATATTAACCTATACATTGCGACTTCAAATCATTCTTTCTTTTTTGAATAAAGCTGTCATGAGAAGAAAATACATGTTCACCATACGAAAAAATTGAAAAAACAACGAAAAAATATAAAACCGTAACAATATTGCTTCTTTTTCGAACGAATTAAAGCGAATAAACGATAATCGATCGATTCTTTAGTGCAGTAAGCAGAAGAATAAGTGATATCCATAAGCGGGACGGAGTTCGTGCTTCATGCCATTTTTGATAACAATCAATGTATGAATAAAAATCAGATCTGTTCGAGACTTCTAATCTAACATAACGCTATCGTGTAAAAAGTCATATCACGGACAGAAAGATAAAGTTCGTGCAGAATCCCGGAAAAGTGCTTTTTCGTATTCAGCACACTCGATAACCCCAAAGATTTTCTATTTTTGACGAAACGTATTGGCAAAAATTTCAGAAAAATTTTGAGACTAATTTTATTTTCCCATGGAAATATTTTTTCACCATTTTGTTCAAAACTTCTCCTAAACTTTCTACAATAATCCTCGTCAAAAATAAAAAATTTTCTGGGTTATCGAGTGTGCCGAACACGAAAGAGCACTTTTCCGCAACTCTAAATGGACTTTATTTTCTTCTTCACGTTGATATGACAGATAAATATTAGCTATATAATTTATAAACCATTGACTGTGTTCCCGACGAATCAGCTATTTCAAATACATACGCCAAATATAGCAATAATTCTTGGGTATGTTTTACCATGACTGTCTAAAAAATGGAAATGAAAGGTCGAAGCACGTCAAGTTTCAAATTGGTACCCCTCACCTACACTTTCCACTCTCACGTGCTATTCTCAGCCATAAAATATAACGGATAACGGAAGAACTTAACAATATAATCCTGTCATACGATGTATTATAGAATATTTCCTATATAAAATTCTACAACAAGAATTTTACGCGATTTATATAATCGGATAACGCTGGATCATACAGTAGGAAAGATTTTTATTCCAAGTCCGGGGCTCCTATCATTTCCCATGCACGTCTTATTCATCCTTTTATTTTACAATTACAATTCTATGTAAAGAACATGTACAGATATTTTTTGAGAATTTCTCGGTATGTTCTCGCAGATGTATCAGAGAATATAATTGTACTTTTTTTTACAAATATCCGTTAGAAAAGCCAGAGAATCACGATTGATTCTAACAGAACAGATACACAAATTACAAACTGGCAAAAGTATATAAAAAGAACAGACAAGATAGCTCCTGTGAAAAGGTAATAACAAGGTCGATTGGCCAGGTTATACCGAAGTTTCCCGAAAATTCTCTATGGTAGGATTCTAAAGGTATAGGAATTCTGTCATAAGGCAGAGTAGTAACCTTCTGATAAACCGAATGCCTTCTACTTTCAAAAAAAAACAAATCACCAAGGAAATGAAAAGATCCTATTATAGGTTTCTTTGACCCCTCGGAGTTGGCTCTTTGATCGCTATAGTCAACAGCAAGAAACATGGTTATAAAGATTTTGCACACCCTACTTGAAGAACGGTAAAATTTTCCAGTACATGATTCATCATTTCTCTTGATGGTAATTCATTTTTTAGTTTTTTAATAAATCCAACCATAAAATCACACATTTTTGTATCAGTTGATTTATAAATATGTTTTCCAGTTTCACAACTTGTTTTTCCATCCTAAAAAGCAAATAATTGATCCTTAGTAGACTGTCACTGACCTATGCAGAGAGTAATGCATCTTTACTTCGACTTTTTCTGCAACAGATTTTCCAAATGAGCATGCTTTTGTTGTTACTTCCACTTCAATCGATTCTTGACTTTCAAATCTAGTTATGTGAACAAACATATAGTTCTGAAAAATTGTGCAGCATCGACTTACAAAACAAAATGATTATATGTTTGATTATCTGTTTCTTGATAATTCATATTAGCCTATAAGTGAAAGAAAATATGAATTTGAGAGAAATTTACGAGAAAACAGCTACGAACCCAAACTTTGATTAAGTAAAATGCATTGTCTGGACCTTTATCATATAAGTCTTTTAGACCTCTATCAAGATTTGGAAATTTATCAATAATTACGTCGATTTTTACTTTCTATAAGAATAGAGTGATATGAAAATAAGCTTCCAAATGGTACTATTTGTTATTTTATTTACTTCTGGCATTGTCTGAGTTCCAGCGGTCTGACTAACATGAAAAAAATAATGTCTTGAATTCTAAAAATAAAAAACAAAAATCCAACTTTTTCACTTAACATCTTGCTTAATCGTACGCACTAAATCTGAATCTTCTTTTTGTTCAATATATCCGGTGAATTCTACGAGTTTCAAACGATTTGTGCCAATAAAACGAGATGTCCAAGTTGTGGTGGCCGTTGGAGTCAGAAGATCACTTGATGAAAAATTTTGTGGAGTGTAGGACGAGTGAGAAAATGGTTTGACACTAGAAACAAAAATAAGGAGTCACAGAAAACACCGGGCAACTGTTGTCTAACGAGGGAACTATCCCAAGTGTTAATCACAGATGCTAATAAGAGGTACCCCAATCGATAGAGCTCGACGAGCTGATTCTAGTGGCATAAAGCATTTTTCCCAATGTTTCTTGAAGACCCAGTTTTCTAGAAAACCAATTTTTCAGAAACTTTAAAAAATAACCAAAA